TATATATATATATATATATATATAATATTACATTTATACTGACTTCTGTAGGGCTAATGCCGGATACTGCTTCGTTGATTTCGCTTCGCCCGCGGCCGCCGCCAAGGCACTGGCAGTCAACGGCACTCCCATGCCAAACACCCAGCGCCCGTTCAAGCTCAACTGGGCCTCCGGTGGCGGCCTCGCTGATCGCAGGTTCGTCTCTACTTCATTCACCTTATCCTGTATAAACAGAAAGAAAAAAAGAAAAAAATGTATGTTGCAGACGTACTAAGAAATATCTATTTACAGCCGCGAGGAACGCGGACCCGAGTTCTCTATCTTCGTCGGCGACCTGGGCCCCGAGGTCAACGAGTACGTGCTCGTGTCTCTCTTCCAGTCGCGCTTCCCATCTTGCAAGTCTGCCAAGATCATGACCGATCCCATCACCGGCCTCTCCCGCGGCTACGGCTTCGTCCGCTTCTCCGACGAGACCGACCAGCAGCGCGCGCTCTCGGAAATGCAGGGCGTCTACTGCGGCAACCGTCCCATGCGCATCTCGACCGCTACCCCAAAGAACAAGGGTCCCGCTGGCCCCGGTGGCCCTGCTCACATGGGCGTCCCCGGAGGCCCTCCTGGAGGCATGTACCCTCCCTCCATGGGCGGTGCTGGTGGTCCTCCTGGACCCGGTGGTCCCCAGATGGGCTACTACGGCGCCGCGCCCCAGCCTATGAACCAGTTCACCGATCCAAACAATACCACCGTCTTCGTCGGTGGCTTGTCCGGCTACGTCACCGAGGACGAACTGCGCTCCTTCTTCCAGGGCTTTGGTGAAATCACCTACGTCAAGATCCCCCCGGGCAAGGGATGCGGGTTTGTCCAGTTCGTCCAGCGCCACGCTGCCGAGATGGCCATCAACCAGATGCAGGGCTACCCCATCGGCAACTCGCGCGTCCGTCTCAGCTGGGGCCGCTCCCAGAACAACTCTGGTCCTGCCGGCACTCCATACAGACCCGCGCCTCCACCACCACTCTACCCGGCCATGGGTATGCCCCCCGCTCACCAGTACGGTGCTGGTTTCGCCCCTATGAAGGTATGACTCTCCTCTCTCTCTCTCTCTCTATATATATATATATATATACATTTATATCAGTCTTCTTTCCATTTCCTTCTCCCGCCAATTTTCTACATCTGTTTTCTCCTTTTCTTACTTTTTTCTTAGGCCGATGAGAACTAACCTGCTCATCCAGTGAAGATAATCTCGCCATAGGAGATCACACCCGAGTCCTCCGAGGCTCCCGACCTTGAACTGTTTGTTTTAGCTCGCACTCGTCTGTCTTGTTACTTGCTTGCTTTTTTTTTTCTATCTACGAAACGGAAAAAAACACAACACGGTATAACGGCTTTCCCACGTCAACAATTGAACCCACGTCTATTGCGTCTCTAACGTCTGCGTTTGCTCTTGAAGGGCGGTTCTTCATGTTCTTACTTCCCCTCGTTCTATTGCGCTGTGTGTTGTCTTGCGTTGCCCTCTCTCCCTTTTTTTCTTTTTCTTCCTTAATCCCTCCTCCCCCTTCCCCTCCCTTCGACTTATTACGGTTTGGGCATCTCATGTACCGCCCATGCTCACCCTTTCGCTTTGACTCCTTTTTTTTCCTTGCTGTCTCTGTATTCCCACTTCCACGTTCCCCAGTCCCAGTCCCGGTCCCTCGCACAGCTAATTTACTATGTCATGTCCAGTTACCCCCTTTTTTTGCCCACTTTTTTCTTTTTCGTTATATTCATATCCAGGTTCCCGCATCCCATTCTGCTGCTGATGTCACTGATAATCACTTGGTCTTTACTTCTCACTCAGACTGGAGCATACGGTATCTTCTTCTACTTTCCTTTTTTTTCAATCTTGAACTCTCTTTTCTTTCTTTTCCTTTTCTATCCACGTATGAGAAGCATGGAGTTGACATGCTAATGTTCCCGCTTTAACGCCGCAACACGTCCCCCTATGCCATCGCCTTCGGTCCTTTCTTTCTTTTTTATCTACTTACTCTATGCCCTGCCTGACTTGTCACTTCTGCCTGATACTCGCTTGCTTACGCTCACGCTTACTTACGTACTTGTATGGGTTGGCCGTCTGCTGAAAAGTTCCCTGCGTCGCACGCTTTTATCATATCATATCTTATTTTATTTTCTTCTTCTTTATTACTTCTTTTCTCTTCTTCCTCTTCTTCTTCTCTTCGACCGTTTTTATCCGCTTTTCTTCGTCTTCGCCTGGAACTAACAACATGGCTTTTTGCTGAAGTGATATGATTTTGGCTCGAGAAATCAGCCAAAATCAGCCAAACGTGTAATGATCCCATCCCTTCCCTCCGGTTTTGACATACACCTCCCTACCCACCTGTCTCCCCTTCTAGCTCCATCACTTCACTGCTTCCCGTCCCAGGTTTATTGACCAACATGTACAACATCATCATGTCATGCCCTGTCCTTTTCTTTTCCTTCCTTTTTTTTCTTCCCCTTCACTCTCCTTTGACTTCTTCTCTGCCATCTTGGACAGATAATTGTACCCGATACCGATTGATGATGATGCTCGATCCTGACTCCCACCCAAACTTTGCGCGCGTGTTGCATTAACTGACTATGCCCATGTACTCGTACTTCCTTTCGTTCTTCCCGTTATCGCTCTCCCGTTTCCACACCCCCAATTTCTCTCTCTCCTTTGTGCCTTTGCCCTCCTTTTCTTTTCTTTTCTTTC